TTTGAAGGAGGTGAAAGTGCAGAATAGTGAAACAAGACATAGGTTAGATCGTTTAGACCATGATATTTGTTCTCTTAGACGCTTGTCTAATATCTTTGAGGGCGTTGATAGTCAGTCGGGACCGCATGGTTCAGTGAACTTTGACCCTACCGCATGTGTGCGAGATAGACATAGCAACAGTGCTAGCCAAACTGATGATATATCAAGTAATAATTTCAATCCCGAGGGGATTCAGCACGATAGTGCCCAGGGTGCCGCTTTTATACGAAGTGCAGCTTTGATGTTCAGGAGAGTATCAAACGATACGTGACACTGTAACCAATGTAAAACTCCCTGCAGACTTGAAAGTGCCTGATTCTAAGCAGGGTATTAAACGTGAGGATCAACAACATGCGGCAGTTGTAGCAAGGTGTGCGCGTTATAGTGAAACAACATTGAAACTTTTGTTTCAAGTGGCAGATGCAAGAAACATTACACAGGACGCATTGATTAAACTATATCAAGTTCAACTCGCACAGATACGCTATCTGCAGGAGGAACAGTCATCTCTGATAGTTCAAGGCCAGTTTGACCGCAATACTGCAAGGATATACAGGACACTGCAGAGAAATACATGTTCATTTAATGAAGAATCCTTGAATACCCTACGTAACGCTACCACCATTGCGGCTGCATTCAGGCCACCACGGAACAGCGGGTTCAACCGAGGGCGTGGTTATGTCCGAGGTTACCACGGTTCAGGGGGTAGATTCTCCTACGGTCGCCGGGACGGACCACTTTTTCACAATAACAATCCTCGAGTGGATCAGGAACAGTAATGGCTCTACTTAGGTGTTACCAGAAATGGCAAAGTATTGGATGTCCAGAGTTTATATTATCCTGATTCAGAATGGTGTTAACTTACCTTTCCATTGCTCTCCTTCTGTAAGTGTTCAAGACAATCATCGCTTGACAAGTTCTCAGATTAACTTTGTTAATGAAGAGATTTCAAGACTGACAATTTCTGGAGCTATACAAAGAGTGTCTGATAAACCATATTGTGTGCATCCTCTAGGTGTTGTTCCTAAACGCAATCACAAGTCGCGCTTAATTGTCGATCTGCGATATGTGAACTCTTTTGTTCAGTACCAAAATTTAGATATGAAGATGTCTCTATGTTGTCACACATTATTGAGCCAAATGACTATTTGGTTACACTGGATCTAAAGGATGGATTTCACCATGTACCAATTCACAGTGATGATAGAAAATACTTAGGGTTTTATTGGCATGGATGGTATTATCAGTGGAATGTGCTCCCTTTGGGTTATCAGTCAGCCCTTACTTCTTTGTAAGACTCTCAGACCAGTTGCTCGACATCTTCGCGGGTTAGGAATAAGACTCCTGGTGTACATGGACGATATTATCATTGCAGCTAAGAAGGAGCTTATTTCAGACCATGCTAACAAGGTAATTTGTGTGTTAGAGTCTCTCGGATGGGTGATAAATTATGACAAATCTTCTCTCACCCTAGTACTAAAAGGAATTTCTTGGATTCTTGGTGGATTCTGTCGGACCTAAGGGTGTGCCTGTTCTAAAGGTTCCGAATCACAAGGTGAGAAAGTTGAAGAAGGACATACGGAGAGCGATATCTGTCCCTTACATTAGAGCTAGACATTTAGCGCGCCTTGCAGGCCAGTGTATCTCTGTCTGTAGAGCAATATTTCCAGGAAAACTTAAGCTTAGGTCAGTGTATAGGCTTCTTTGCGAGCAAACACACATATGGGAATCAACATTAGTTTGACTGATGATAGCCTTTCAGATCTGAAATGGTGGATAAGCGCCTTGGATTCTTGGAACGGTACCACTATGCTTGTGAGGACCTTCGACGGACAGCTCGAAACGGATGCCTCGAACACCGGCTGGGGAGCAGTTTTCAAAGGCCTTTCAGCGCAGGGTGTATGGACAGTGGACACTTCATTTCAGTCAATAAACTTTCGAGAAATGCTTGCTGTGTTAATGGCTCTAAAGTCATTTTCGATTCACCTGACAGGCCGAAAAATTCAATTGCTATCGGACAATGTGACAACAGTGGCTTACCTCAGTCACATGGGAGGTCCCATCAAGGAGTTAACAGAGCTGGCAACAAGAATATGGGAGCTCTGCTTAGACAGAGACATTATGCTAGTGGCTCGCCATCTACCCGGGGTGGAGAATGTAGAGGCGGACATGCTATCCCGCCGATTCGACCGGTACGAGTGGAGGTTACACCCACGTGTCTTCAATATGCTGGATTACATGTGGGGACCACACACGGTAGACAGATTTGCGTCGTATCAAACCACACAGCTGCAAGTATACAACAGTCGAACATGCGATCCGTACACTCAAGGAGTCGACGGGCTGGCTCAGAACGATTGGCATATACACAACAATTTTGTCAACGCTCCGTTCAGATTGATACCAGACATTCTGCAAAAAAGTTGTGTCCACAAAGTCCTTTGCCACAGTGATAGCACCATGGTGGCCAGCCCAGACGTGGTTTCCTCGTCTTCAGAAACTATCAGTCTGCTCACCTCTAAAGCTTCCTCGTCAACGACGTTGTTGCCTACCACTATTAGCAAAACCGGAACCACTGGCAAATCCAAAATGGAGACTGTTCGCTTGGAGGATCTATGGAGGGAACGGTTAATTCGTTCTGAGTGGACGACTCGAGCTGCTGATCAGATATCACATGCTCTGGCGCCAAGTACTCTACATTTGTACAATTCCTTTGTTAACAAGTTTAGAGATTTTTGTGTTGAAGAGAAATGTGTCTTTCCACCTACTGGTACATCTGTGTTAGCAACCTTTCTGTGTAAGGTTGCGGATTCATCGCCTAAACCTAGATCTCAGCTGAAAAGTGCATGTGCGGCTATATCTTGTCTGTATGAAACTATGAATCTTCAGAACATTGTGCACACTCCTGATGTATCTAGATTAGTACAGGCTCTGGTGAAGTCTGGTACAGAGGTTCCTATGCAACGTTCCACGGTGATGCCAGTATCTGCATTGAATGATTTGTTTCAGAGATGGCCAGATAACAAAATATTGTCAATAAAACAGCTCCGCCAAAAGGCAGTGACTCTATTAGCTCTGGTGGCTATGTTGCGCCCATCAGATATCGCCCCGAAATCGGTACATTATGATGCCCAGACCCGCTTGACTAAGAGCAACGAGTTTACCACAAATCAATTGTCTTTTCATGCAGATGGTTCTCTGACTATAAACTTCTTTGGCATAAAAAATGACACTTCACGTACTGGTTTTGAGGTTTTGGTTCAGCCTGCAGATTGCAGCAAGTTGGACCCTGTAAAGACCTTGAAGGATTACATAGAGCGGACAGACTCTCTCCGAACGGACACTAGTAGTGTTTTCTTGTCTCTGCATGCACCCCACAGAGGCGTGCAAGCATCTACTGTTTCAGAAATTCTAGAACAATCCATAAAAGATGCCGGACTCTCTTCCAAGGGGTTTTCTGCAAAATCGTTCCGTCCAACTGGAGCAACACTGGCGATTCAGAATTGTCAGGATCCTAAAATTGTCATGAAGGTCGGGAGATGGAAAACAGAGTCTGTTTTCTATGGACATTATGTACACAGCAGAACACCAAAAGACTTTTCAGAGTCGGTACTCAATGGTTGATATCAGTGTTTCTACCATAATTACAGAATTTCAGCATTTTCTTGTTACCATGAGTAAGCCTAATATTTTCTTTAAGATTTTAAAGATACTGGTGTACTATTGTGTTTTTTTTGGGGGTTTTTTGTGTTTTTTTTTGAGAGTTTAACATGTTTGACATGTTAATATGGCAGATTGCTTTATCATTTCCCTTACTCACTATAGAGGCATTTAGTTAAAACAATAAAGACATTGTTGTTTTATTTTTCAATTGTAATCTGTCTATGACGTAAGTTTACCAAAACTGTAGTCAGACAGATTACGCAGAGTTACCTCCCTTTCCTTGTAGGAATCTCTAGTCAACGAAGGTTGACTAGTTGTTCTTGTCTGGTGCTAAATTTTAATGAGTTGAATTACATCTGGTTATCTCAGTTATTACTGTATGCAAATGGGCCTAATTATGTATGTTTATGTATGGCGGTACGTAGCATTGGATTGTGAACATATAGGCATTTAGTTAAAACAATAAAGACATTGTTGTTTTAATTTTCAATTGTAATCTGTCTATGACGTAAGTTTACCAAAACGGCAGACCGATAAAAATAGAAATATGCATACGCGTGGGCGGGGCTAAAGCGGTTTTTGTTTTGGTGCATATTGATAATTTTTACGACTATTTTTCGTAAATGGATAGTGCAGATGTGGTATATATTCATGTTTGAATGGCATTATGTAATAAAAATGCATAGTGTTTAAACCTTTTTAAAAATCCTTTAATATGATATCAACAAGCGTTTATATACACACTCATTCCTCAAACGGATAGATTTAGGATATGCATGTATTTACACGGGATACAAGAGCACAAACAGATAATGTGAGTTGATAAGTAAATTCAGTTTTATTTAGGCAGTTAAAAGAAAAAAACACATGGTACAATAGAACATTGTAAAGGTGGAGGAAACGTGTCTTTTTTTCATATATACTATACATTATTGCAAAATCTGTCGAACTCGTTTTTCCCCGGATATCTTTACTCTGCTCTTAGCATTGTTCCAGCAATATTACAGCGGATGACACCTGAAATAGGCTTCACACATTGTATTCGAACCTGGGCCTTCGGCGTAATGAGCAAACGCTTTAACCACTAGACTATACCACTGCCCATTTAGGCATCCGCAACTGTGTCTTGACATACCCGCGGCTGATTTACTTATGTGTTTTGCTAAAGAAGGAAATTAATCGATTTATTCCATAGTCTTTGTGATGTAGATATTGTCCTAGCGACGCCACTTGCCGTTCTGTAGAACGAATCATTTACCAACGATTAAAATAATTTATTTAACGAAGCGTTGCGGCACTTGTCACTGCGCAGAGTGTTCCTGGGTCGTGTAGGCGTATGCGGGTCTCAAAAATGTGTCCAGGTTCTCATTTCATTTTCTGGATATTTACAACATTTTTCCCTTTCTGTTACCCTTATGAGTGTGGAAGCTTGCTGTTACTGGAACCGTCTATTGAACCTGTTCTGTTTCCATCTCAGAGGATGGTAGTTAAAAACGTGATCCAGTGTGAAACTGCTTGTCGACGAGACTCAAAATGCATATCGCTGAACTATGATTTCAAAACTGGGTTTTGTGATCTGAACACGTACGACCATGGGTACAAAGCTGATTCATCCGAGGTGAAAGATCTCCTTGAGAAGAATTGTGAAGTAAGTGTATTATATACCAATAACAAACACGATGGGCCAGTATTTCCAAACTTTATACATAGTACCCGTGAAGATCCGGGTTAGAGTTGGTCTTCCGCAACCCGTAAAAGGTGACTAACATGATCGGGTGGTTAGGCCGGCTGACTTGGTTGATACATATCAGTGGATTGTCTGGTTTAGACACGATTATTTACAGACCGCTGCCATGTTGCTGAAATATTGCTGAGTGCAGGCTTAAACAACAAACAAAACCTAACTTTATGCACGCTAGGAAATTGATGTCAGATCCGAGGTTTCTTTTGACCAACGTTTGCAATGTACGCATCATTTGGTCTCCATCTTGGCAGGTCATGACATAGAAGAACATACAAGGGACTGCTTGAACACTCAGTATCATCTCCACAGTATCATGTTCATGTTTAAATCACTAGGAACAGTACTGGTTTCAATTCTTCCCCTGTTTTACACCTACACCCTGTTTGACACCTACAACCTGTTTTACTCCTACACCCCGTCTTACACCTATTTCCCTGTTTTACACCTACACTAGGAACAGTACTGGTTTCAATTCTGCCCCTGTTTTACACCTACACCCTGTTTTACACCTACATCCTGTTTTACACATACGACCTGTTTTACACCTACACCCTGTTTTACACCTACACCCTATTTTATACCTACACCCTGTTTTACACCTACGACCTGTTTTACACCTACACCCTGTTTTACACCTACACCCTGTTTTACACCTACATCCTGTTTTACACATACGACCTGTTTTACACCTACACCCTGTTTTACACCTACACCCTATTTTATACCTACACCCTGTTTTACACCTACGACCTGTTTTACACCTACACCCTGTTTTACACCTACATCCTGTTTTACACCTACGACCTGTTTTACACCTACACCCTGTTTTACACCTACACCCTGTTTTACACCTACACCCTGTTTTACACCTACACCCAGTTGTACACCTACACCCTATTTTATACCTACACCCTGTTTTGCACCTACATCCTGTTTTTACACCTACATCCTGTTTTACACCTACGCCCTGTTTTACACTTACACCCTGTTTTACACCTACACCCTGTGTTTTACACCTACACACTGTTTAACACCTACACCCTGTTTTACACCTTACACCCTCTGTTTTACACCTACACCCTGTTTTACACCTACACACCCTGTTTTACACCTACACCCTGTTGTACACCTACACCCTGTTTTACACCTACACCTGTTTTACACCTACGACCTGTTTTACACCTACACCCTGTGTTTTACACCTACACCTCTGTTTTACACCTCCACACCCTGTTTTACACCTACACCCTGTTTTACACCTACACCCTGTTTTATACCTACACCCTGTTTTACACCTACACCCTGTTTTACACCTACACCCTGTTTTACACTTACACCCTGTTTTACACCTACACCCTGTTTTACACCTACACCCTGTTTTACACCTACACCCTATTTTACACCTACACCCTGTTTTACACCTACACCCTGTTTTACACCTACAGCCTGTTTTACACTTACACCCTGTTTTACATCTACACCCTGTTTTACACCTACATCCTGTTTTACACATACACCCTGTTATACACTTACACCCTGCCTTACACCTACACCCTGTTGTACACCTACACCCTATTTTATACCTACACCCTGTTTTACACCTACACCCTGTTTTACACCTACATCCTGTTTTACACCTACACCCTGTTTTACACTTACACCCTGTTTTACACCTACACCTTGTTTTACACCTACACTCTGTTTTACACCTACATCCTGTTTTACACATACACCCTGTTATACACTTACACCCTGCCTTACACCTACACCCTGTTGTACACCTACACCCTATTTTATACCTACACCCTGTTTTACACCTACACCCTGTTTTACACCTACATCCTGTTTTACACCTACGCCCTGTTTTACACCTACACCCTGTTTTACGTCTACACCCTGTTTTACACTTACACACTGTTGTACACCTACACCCTATTTTATACCTACACCCTGTTTTACACCTACATCCTGTTTTACACCTACATCCTGTTTTACACCTACGCCCTGTTTTACACTTACACCCTGTTTTACACCTACACCCTGTTTTACACTTACACCCTGTTTAACACATTACCCTGTTTTACACTTACACCCTGTTTTACACCTACACCCTGTTTTACACCTACACCCTGTTTTACACCTACACCCTGTTTTACACCTACACCCTATTTTACACCTACACCCTGTTTAAAACCTACACCCTGTTTTACACCTACAGCCTGTTTTACACCTACACCCTGTTTTACACCTACATCATGTTTTACACCTACGACCTGTTTTACACCTACGACCTGTTTTACACCTACATCCTGTTTTACACCTACACCCTGTTTTACACCTACATCCTGTTTTACACCTACACCCTGTTTTACACTTACACCCTGTTTTACACCTATTTCCTGTTTTACACTTACACCCTGTTTTACACATACACCCTGTTTTACACTTACACCCTGTTTTACACTTACACCCAGTTTTACACCTACACCCTGTTTTACACCTACACCTTGTTTTACACCTACACCCTATTTTACACCTACACCCTGTTTTACAGCTACACCCTGTTTTACTCCTACAGCCTGTTTTACACTTACACCCTGTTTTACATCTACACCCTGTTTTACACTTACACCTTGTTTTACACTTACACCCTGTTTTACACCTACACCCTGTTTTACACTTACACCCTGTTTTACACCTACATCCTGTTTTACACCTACGCCCTGTTTTACACTTACACCCTGTTTTACACCTACACCCTGTTTTACACTTACACCCTGTTTAACACATTACCCTGTTTTACACTTACACCCTGTTTTACACTTACACCCTGTTTTACACCTACACCCTGTTTTACACTTACACCCTGTTTTACACCTACACCCTATTTTACACCTACACCCTGTTTAAACCTACACCCTGTTTTACACCTACAGCCTGTTGTACACCTACACCCTGTTTTACACCTACATCATGTTTTACACCTACGACCTGTTTTACACCTACGACCTGTTTTACACCTACATCCTGTTTTACACCTACACTCTGTTTTACACCTACATCCTGTTTTACACCTACACCCTGTTTTACACTTTTACACCCTGTTTTACACCTATTTCCTGTTTTACACTTCTACACCCTGTTTTACACATACACCCTGTTTTACACTTACACCTCTGTTTTACACTTACACCCTGTTTTACACTCTTTACACCTTGTTTTACACACTACACCCTATTTTTACACCTACACCCTGTTTTACACCTACACCCTGTTTTACACCTACAGCCTGTTTTACACTTACACCCTGTTTTACACCTACACCCTGTTTTACACTTACACCTTGTTTTACACCTACACCCTGTTTTACACCTACACCCTGTTTTACACTTACACCCTGTTTTACACCTACACCCTATTTTACACCTACACCCTGTTTAAACCTACACCCTGTTTTACACCTACAGGCTGTTGTACACCTACACCCTGTTTTACACCTACATCATGTTTTACACCTACGACCTGTTTTACACCTACGACCTGTTTTACACCTACATCCTGTTTTACACCTACACTCTGTTTTACACCTACATCCTGTTTTAAACCTACACCCTGTTTTACACTTACACCCTATTTTACACATACACCCTGTTTTACACTTACACCCTGTTTTACACATACACCCTGTTTTACACTTACACCCTGCTTTACACTTACACCCTGTTTTACACCTACACCCTGTTTTACACTTACACCCTGTTTTACACCTACACCCTGTATTTTGCACCTACACCCTATTTTGCACCTACACCCTGTTTTACACCTACACCCTGTTTTACTCCTACACCCTGTTTTACACTTACACCCTGTGTTACATCTACATCCTGTTTTACACCTACATCCTGTTTTACACATACACCCTGTTTTACACCTTTACCCTGTTTTACACCTACACCCTGTTTTCCACTTACACCCTGTTTTACACCTACACCCTGTTTTACACTTACACCGTTTTACACTTACACCCTGTTTTACACCTACATCATATTTTACACCTACATCTTATTTTACACTTACATCCTGTTTTACACCTACATCCTGTTTTACACGTACATCTTGCTTTACACTTACATCTTGTTTTACACCTACACCCTGTTTTACACCTATTTCCTGTTTTACACATACATCTTGATTTACACCTGCACTAGGAACGGTACTGGTTTCATTTCTGCACCTGTTTTACACCTACCACTGTGTAACACCTACATCCTGTTTCACACCTATTTCCCTGGTTATATGTCTTATATCTATTGGAATGCAATGCGTTTATTCAAGCACATGTTTTATATCCTTTTTAAACTATTTGATTTTAAATGTATACAGAAGACCCTGATCTCTAACAGAGATACAGCTGTTTTTTTGTAGTCACTGGATTGTGTGGCTCGTCTATAGGCAGTGACCACGTGGCAGCAGTACTGCCGTACGGTGTAAGGCAACAGACACTCACCTTTTGTACAAACTGTGAAAGCGTTGGGTGCTACGGGTGGGGAAGGACATGCTCACCCTTTTCTCGAACAGCTGTTGTAAACACTGATTGTGCTCCATTCATACGATTTAATCACTATTTTGTATGGAATACTGTAAGGGACATTCTCGCGATCTCGACCTTTGGAAACAAGCTAAAAATGCCAAAAGTGCGAGAATGCGAGATCGCGAGAAAGTCCCTTACAGTATTCCATAATTTTGTCTTTGCGCAAACTGGAATCTGTAGATCTGAAGCGGTCATATAGCCGACTAATACATCAAATCATAAAGTGGACATTTGTATCAACAACGGCTTTGTACCTCCAAACAACAATAGTCAGCTGGAACGTATAAACTATCGTATCATGTTGTTTTCGATTTGTGTGGCCTAAGGTCCGGGTTGGAGTTCCAAACAGGTTATAATATGTAAAAGATATTGTGATATTAGTATAATACTGCTCGACGCAACGGAACACCCATGTTTGTAAAACATGATACTTAATGAACTCTCTCTTGAAGGTCCATGGTGTTGACACATGCGCAGACTGCCTACCGGGGTATCGGTGTGTGTACGCAGCCAATAAATATGTGTGTCTCAACGGGCAGGCATCATCACCACTGACTGGTAAGTTTCTTATAAATGGCCAGTGTTAAAATATGGATCTTTTCAGTAATTGTTAAAATATAATCACTAGAAGAAAAGGCATATATAATCTACAAGATGTAAAATTTCTGACTTCCACAAGTAATAGTTGACCTTGGTCACGAGTTATTCTATTTCACAATATGTTATTTATCATATTATGCCAGAAGGCGGTGGCTCACGAGTCATTCTAATTCCCATATGTTATTTGTCATATTATGCCAGAAGGCGGTGGCTCACGAGTCATTCTAATTCCCATATGTTATTTATCATATTATGCCAGAAGGCGGTGGATGACGAGTTATTCTAATTTCCCCTATGTTATTTATCATATTATGCCAGAAGGCGGTGGCTCACGAGTCATTCTAATTCCCCCTGTTATTTATCATATTATGCCAGAAGGCGGTGGATGACGAGTTATTCTAATTTCCCCTATGTTATTTATCATTTTATGCCATCAGGCGGTGGCTCACGAGTTATTCTAATTCCCCCTATGTTATTTGTCATATTATGCCAGAAGGCGGTGGCTCACGAGTCATTCTAATTCCCATATGTTATTTGTCATATTATGCCAGAAGGCGGTGGCTCACGAGTCATTCTAATTTCCATATGTTATTTATCATATTATGCCATCAGGCGGTGGCTCACGAGTTATTCTAATTCCCCCTGTTATTTATCATATTATGCCATCAGGCGGTGGATGACGAGTTATTCTAATTTCCCCTATGTTATTTGTCATTTTATGCCATCAGGCGGTGGCTCGCGAGTTATTCTAATTCCCCCTGTTATTTGTCATATTATGCCAGAAGGCGGTGGCTCACGAGTCATTCTAATTCCCATATGTTATTTGTCATATTATGCCAGAAGGCGGTGGCTCACGAGTCATTCTAATTCCCATATGTTATTTGTCATATTATGCCATCAGGCGGTGGCTCACGAGTCATTCTAATTCCCCTATGTTATTTATCATATTATGCCATCAGGCGGTGGCTCGCGAGTCATTCTAATTCCCCCTGTTATTTATCATATTATGCCATCAGGCGGTGGATGACGAGTTATTCTAATTTCCCCTATGTTATTTGTCATATTATGCCAGAAGGCGGTGGCTCACGAGTCATTCTAATTCCCACTGTTATTTATCATATTATGCCATCAGGCGGTGGATGACGAGTTATTCTAATTTCCCATATGTTATTTATCATATTATGCCAGAAGGCGGTGGCTCGCGAGTCATTCTAATTCCCACTGTTATTTATCATATTATGCCAGAAGGCGGTGGATGACGAGTTATTCTAATTTCCCCTATGTTATTTATCATATTATGCCATCAGGCGGTGGCTCGCGAGTCATTCTAATTCCCCCTGTTATTTATCATATTATGCCATCAGGCGGTGGATGACGAGTTATTCTAATTTCTCCTATGTTATTTATCATTTTATGCCATCAGGCGGTGGCTCACGAGTTATTCTAATTCCCCCTATGTTATTTGTCATATTATGCCAGAAGGCGGTGGCTCACGAGTCATTCTAATTCCCATATGTTATTTGTCATATTATGCCAGAAGGCGGTGGCTGACGAGTCATTCTAATTCCCCTATGTTATTTATCATATTATGCCAGAAGGCGGTGGCTCACGAGTCATTCTAATTCCCATATGTTATTTATCATATTATGCCATCAGGCGGTGGATGACGGGTTATTCTAATTTCCCCTATGTTATTTTTCATATTATGCCATCAGGCGGTGGCTCACGAGTCATTCTAATTCCCCCTGTTATTTATCATATTATGCCATCAGGCGGTGGATGACGAGTTATTCTAATTTCCCATATGTTATTTATCATATTATGCCAGAAGGCGGTGGATGACGAGTTATTCTAATTTCCCCTATGTTATTTATCATATTATGCCATCAGGCGGTGGATGACGGGTCATTCTAATTCCCCCTGTTATTTATCATATTATGCCAGAAGGCGGTGGATGACGAGTTATTCTAATTTCCCCTATGTTATTTATCATTTTATGCCATCAGGCGGTGGCTCGCGAGTCATTCTAATTCCCCCTGTTATTTATCATATTATGCCAGAAGGCGGTGGATGACGAGTTATTCTAATTTCCCCTATGTTATTTATCATATTATGCCATCAGGCGGTGGCTCGCGAGTCATTCTAATTCCCCCTGTTATTTATCATATTATGCCAGAAGGCGGTGGATGACGAGTTATTCTAATTTCCCCTATGTTATTTATCATTTTATGCCATCAGGCGGTGGCTCACGAGTTATTCTAATTCCCCCTATGTTATTTGTCATATTATGCCAGAAGGCGGTGGCTCACGAGTCATTCTAATTCCCATATGTTATTTGTCATATTATGCCAGAAGGCGGTGGCTGACGAGTCATTCTAATTCCCCTATGTTATTTATCATATTATGCCATCAGGCGGTGGCTCACGAGTCATTCTAATTCCCCCTATGTTATTTATCATATTATGCCAGAAGGCGGTGGATGACGGGTTATTCTAATTTCCCCTATGTTATTTATCATATTATGCCATCAGGCGGTGGCTCGCGAGTCATTCTAATTCCCCCTGTTATTTATCATATTATGCATCAGGCGGTGGATGACGAGTTATTCTAATTTCCCATATGTTATTTATCATATTATGCCATCAGGCGGTGGATGACGAGTTATTCTAATTTCCCCTATGTTATTTATCCTATTATGCCAGAAGGCGGTGGCTCGCGAGTCATTCTAATTCCCCCTGTTATTTATCATATTATGCCAGAAGGCGGTGGATCACGAATTATTCTAATTCCCCATGTTATTTATCATATTATGCCATCAGGCGGTGGCTCACGAGTCATTCTAATTCCCCCTGTTATTTATCATATTATGCCAGAAGGCGGTGGATGACGAGTTATTCTAATTTCCCTATGTTATTTATCATTTTATGCCATCAGGCGGTGGCTCACGAGTTATTCTAATTCCCAATATGTTATTTATCATTTTATGCCAGAAGGTGGTGGCTCACGGGTTATTCTAATTCCCCCTGTTTATTTATCATATTATGCCATCAGGCGGTGGCTCGCGAGTCATTCTAATTCCCACTGTTATTTATCATATTATGCCATCAGGCGGTGGATGACGAGTTATTCTAATTTCCCCTATGTTATTTTTCATATTATGCCATCAGACGGTGGCTCGCGAGTCATTCTAATTCCCCCTGTTATTTATCATATTATGCCATCAGGCGGTGGATGACGAGTTATTCTAATTTCCCCTATGTTATTTATCATTTTATGCCATCAGGCGGTGGCTCACGGGTTATTCTAATTTCCCCTATGTTATTTAATATTTTATGCCAGAAGGCGGTGGCTCACGGGTTATTCTAATTTCCGCTATGTTATTTATCATTTTATGCCATCAGGCGGTGGCTCACGAGTTATTCTAATTCCCCCTATGTTATTTATCCTATTATGCCAGAAGGCGGTGGCTCGCGAGTCATTCTAATTCCCCCTGTTTATTTATCATATTATGCCAGAAGGCGGTGGCTCACGAGTCATTCTAATTCCCCCTATGTTTTTGTCATATTATACCATAAGGTGGTGGCTCACGGGCCAGTCTAGTGGTGTTAATCTCCCTATAATGTATATTTATAATTTCTTGTTAGAACCAGTTTAGTACTGAATTAGGAGCCAAATACAGCTATTCATCTCATATTCCCTTGAGCAAAACCCCCTGGTGTAAACATCTTTGAAATCCTGTGCAATTTGACATTGCCCTTGTTGACACTCCCTGATGGTTGGGAGCTCGAATGCAGAATCATTTTTTTCATTATGACACTACAACAGGCTGTCTCATCTCGAAATAAAAGGAAGATACGTGTAGGCGAACTTGATCGCGCAACTGAAAATAATTCTTCAAACGTTGATTCATTAGCTAGCTTCCTAGCTTCAGCCTCAAACCTTTTGCAATTTCTAAGGCTACCTCTGGGATTTGTTGAGAAGTGAAGTCGCCGTAATTGTTCTCTGGTGGAGCGTGCACGTAGCCAGCAATATCTCAATGTGTTCAGAGAATTTTTAACGTTTCACCGCCAAGAAATAGGGCATTATTACGAAATCAAATATATATCAGTTGGCAGTTGGCGTTTGCTCGTTCATCCCTTCCACAGTTTTACAAAACATGTTATTTCAATATCAGAGTGGTTGTATATGTCCCCAATCCACTCCGAGTTGACACATGTCAATATTTCGGCCATGGATCAAAATCCTGCCGTAACTCTGTGGTACGTCACTGCTGTGGTGATCGCTATGACGGTTCTAACTGAGGTGAGGTGAAATTGGGTTTAACGTCGTGCTTAAGAATATTTCGCTCATATGACAACGTGCATGCGTGTGTATGTGTGTGTGCGGCTGCTTGTACTAGCCCAGACTGAAGCTGGTTTTATAGTGCTAGCCCACTGAGACACCATGCCGCAGTGAAGCATGAATACCCCACTCAGACACATTATACTGACTCCGAGCCGACCAGTCCTTGTTGTACCCATTAATGCCGAGCGCCAGGCAGGGACAAACAAGTACCATATTTTAACGTCTTTTTGTATGACGCGGTCGGGGATCGAACCCGCAACCTCCGGGCGGACGCTCTAACCACTACACCACGGAGGACGGTTCTAACTGTGGAAATGAGTGTAAGTGCGCACATCCTGCTACTTCCGGGTCCCAGGGCCGGAGGGGTAGCCTAGTGGATAAAGCGTTCCCTCGTCACGCCGGAGAGCCGGGTGTGAAGCCCATTTCTGGTGTCCCCCGTCTTAATATTGCTGAAATATTGCTGAAGCGACGTAAAACTAAGCTCACTGATCAGCTAACTGAAACACAAACATATCTCTACAATCGGAGACGAATGTAGAAGAATTGTTAAAGCGTTCGATTGTCACTCCGAAATCCTGGGTTCGATTCCTAACACAGCATGTGAAGAGTATCTA